TAATGGAGTAATTTTTGAATCTTACCTTCTTTCTGTCTCCCCCCCCACCCCCAAAGGAGGAGAAAATGGCTTTGGAATTTGATTCCTTTTGCCTACCACACTCTATAAAAAAGCTAATGCTGACTTCCAAGCCGGAGCAATCAAGAGGATCATTGTTACATGTTTCTCTCTTTCCATACAGGAGATTTATGGTTATGATCTGTGCCGTTGGAAGCTGGTGCTAGTTACTGTGGGAGTGATCTGTTCTGGTGGCTTTCTTCTCCTCCTCCTCTACTGGATGCCTAAATGGCGTGTGAAAGCAACATGCAAAAGGACTATGCTTAAAGACTGTGAAGTGGTTCTGCTGAGGACAACTGTAAGTCTATATATAGGAGAAAACATTTTTGCAAGTCAGTTATTTCACATCCCTCTTGCTGCTTGATAAAATACACAATTTCTTGCCTGCCAAGGAGATTGATTTTGCTATATGGCATTGCGGAATTGTGCTGCTCGGTATTGTATATAGCTTTGCTGCCCATGTGAGAAGGTTGGCAGCTGTATACAGAGGACAAGATGTAAAGAAAAGGTCTTTGCTTTCACTTTTTTAGGATAAAATAAAAGACTGGCATATCATCGTAAGTTATAAAACAGATACCTTGTTCACATAACTTAATACTTGGTGGTTCTCAGGTTTCTTCCTCAGATCCTTCTTGTCAGCAGACATAAAAGCTTAAACTTGTTGAGTTAATGTGAAACTGTGAATGCAAGTGTGGCTTGCTCTCAGATGATATTCTTCCTACACAATTGCTGTATGCGATCACTGGTTATGATCTTATATTCAGTCCTCAAATTATTTGGGGTGGCAGAGTGGGTGCAGCTGAACCATAGTTCATGCTATAGAACAAATACGGTGTTTTGCAAAGGCCTGAGGATTTCCAAGTTATTTACCAAGGTTCACTGCTTTAAAATCTTCTAGTACAAAAAAAGCTCTTATAATTGTGGAAAAAAATGTATTCTTAGGGTAACCAGTACTAATTTGGCCTATCATCTACAGGTGGGTATAGGCTCTGCTAGTCTGTTGTCTGTTGCGGACATGTTGCTCACTAGTTAGTTACTGATCACTAGTTAAACTTTGTTTTAACAACTCATGTTTTTCTTCCTTTTTTAAAGGATGAATTCAAGATATGGTTTTGTGCAAAGGTTCGCATTATGCCTTCTTTGGGAACCAATCCTTTACAGAGTCCTAAACCTATAGTACACAAGGTTTCAAATGGCCATGCTGTTCACATCTGTGAAACTTCTGCAGAAGAGAATAAAAATGATTTGAAAAAATATTTACCCGTAAGTAAACATGCAGTATCGCACCCGCTAACTCTCAAAGCATCTGCAAGTAGTATCTGGTATGAACACGCACAGCGTAGTACATGTGACTTAGTTTGACTAAAAGGCTAACTGATTCTTTGAGTGGAGCACAAATCTTTTGCTCAATAGCTCGTCTTTCAGAAAATTGTGAAATGCTTGAAAGGTTCTTTTGAAAGTAAGCTATCTAGTTTTCTTGTCAGTGTATTTTTTTTCTATTCACTTTCTATCACTGTTCAAAATCTCGTAAGTCAGAAGAGAGGTTTTAAGCAGTACCAGTTTAATATCTGTATCTGTTTCCCTTGCAGATTCGTTATTTCACACATCACAGCGTGAAATATGTCTGGAATGATTCAGCTCAAAGTTTTGATATTGTACGGTAAGGATACTCTTTTCCTCTTGCATTACACTTCAAACTGTGTGTTTGGAAATATAACATGCCTAAAACAATTGTGAAAATGGTATCTTATTCTGACCGGTCATTCTTGCTCATTGAATCTTTCTCTGAACCATTGTGAGAGCAGGGAGATTTAACTCAGTGTAACTTTTAGAAAGACCTTTGGTTAATCTACCTTTACTGAGTGTGACTTATATAGGATGACAAGCTTCATGCCACTACAGGCTTATGTCTGGTTTTGGTGTGTTAAATAACATAATCGTAGTATCTGTTGGTAGCTGGCAGTTCTCCTCTTATAAACTCTCAAAAATGTTCTTTCTAATGAAATCACTTATGCCTCTTACATTGCTGCTGAGCCGGACCCTGAAGGAGTATCTCAGAAGAAGGGAATTCACTAAGTACCTAGTTGCACAAATTTGTGTAGGTGTTGCTGCTACATTTAATCCAGATGAGTTGAAATTGATCCCTCTTCAGTAACAAAATAATGCAGGGAAAGGTTTCTCACCTTGATGGAAAATGGCTTTTAGTGGGCAGTACTGGTTGTACTCATCGAATGCCATGAGCAGTATTATTTCTCTTATCCAGCAATGATGTATGTGGCATCAAGGTTGAAATTCTCTTTTCTGATGCTACTGATTAAGGCCTTCCTATAGTACTAAGAAAATGCAAAGCCAAGCCTCTCCATTTTTGACAACTGCTTATTAAAATGGGAAGTTTAGATCAAGAATATAACCTCTCTCTTAACTTAAATCAATGTTCACTGCATTGAACCATCAAGGGTAAGTGTAAGTCCAAGCACTAAGTATAGAATAAAATCAGTGATGTGACAGAAGGAAAAAATAACCAAACTTCCATTGAGAAGAAAGTCCAGCCTGCAAATGTTTCTTGCTTTTCAAAAAAAGTATATGCAGTAGTATGAAAAAATTATCAGTAATTTAAACAAAATAAACGCTCATAATGCAAGCAGTTACAAAACAGAAAACCCTTCCTGTGGAAGGGTGGAAATGTCTCAGTTCATCTGTAAATAATTGAAAGCCTTGTATGCATTTTTAATGTTAAGCCTCCCATGAATTAGAGGAGTGCAGGTAGTGATGGTTGTCATTTTGCATTACAGTCTTGCTGCCATGCTTTTAGCACTGCTAACTTTAAACTGTTCAAATGAAGTATTTCCAGCAGAAGAGTTTAAAAAATGTAAAGAAAAACTACCCTTTTTTTGTTAAGAACTGTTATAGGGGGAATTCATATGAATCCATGTACTTAATGCTAAGGAACAAATTTTTTTTTTTTTCCAAAAGCAATGGCTTGAAATTTGGCATCTGTTGGTGTTTGAGTGCCTTTTGATGTTATTGTGATAACTCAGCCAAGTTGTAAGCCCTTGAAAAATCTCAAATATGCCTGTGAAATTA